TTGAATTATATGGAGGAACCGATAAAGAAGAATACCCAGTCAGTCAGGTTTACCTCACATATAAAGTATCCTGATGCACCTTAGCGTCGGACGGCCGTAAATCCCGAGGTATGCCGAAATGTACGTGTACGTAGAGTCCGATCGTGAACCAAGCAGGCAGCGATGCGCACAATCACAACAATCCAGCGGCAACCAAGGAAGAACCACGGAAGGCGAGCGCGTAACCAAGTGTATGTATAAAAAGTTAATTAAAACAAAGCTGTACAACAACTGCAGCGAACTAGGTAAACGTGAAAATGCAAAATAAGCAAATTATTTACAATCGCTACAACCTTCACTTTTAAGTTCTTTTATACAGACACAAATATCTTGGTATTCTACTGGCTTAGCTCTTTCCACTTTTTCTTTTAGCCTTCTGAGCTCACTTTTTCCTCTTTCTTACTTCACGTAACCGGCCCAGCAGGGACTGCTAGGACAGGATACGAGGGCATTAATTGGTTGGACAGGGCGTGAGGTGGTCGTTGTTTTAGGTCCATCCGTATTTCAGCGTCTGCCAACTCCTGCTTCAAGGACCCGCTGAAGAAGGAACACTCACGGGATAATCCTATCGTTCCAATCCCACTTGAAATACCGTGTGTTTCGGGTATTTCTTTTTAGACCCATTAAGACCTCGTAACGCCTTATCCTTTCTTGGTTCAGCGATCCGCTCACGAACACTCAAGGGATATTCTTATCATTATAGTCCCAAATGAATCTGAATCTACCTTAGCAACACTGTCTACATGCCTTTTCTCGCGGGAGGCGTGTCCGGCAGTCCGTTGTTACGTACTCCGGATATGTGAGCACAACGGGTCCTCTTTTACGCGATTTTGTCAGTACATCACCTTAGATCATTTGTTTCCGTACATAAACAGAACTAGCGTAACTTTGTCTTATGTATGGAAACGATTTTCGGTTGTCTATTTGATGCAGATGTCTCTCCATCGAAAGCATTCGTTGAACCCTTTAGCAGTTTGGACATGTGGGGTACTTGTACCCAGCGTAATTTACGGAAATTGGTGCGTCTGAATCGCCTTCTTAAGCCTTTACGCCTCTATCTATTTAAGCGTGTTCTGGAACTTTGTGAGTCCGCTAATGTTGATGCATTTGTCTACGGTGGAACCGCTCTCGCTGTGTATCGGGAATGTGGAAAAATGATCGAGCATGATACCGACATCGATCTTGCTACCTTAGAGTATGATAGCAAAGGAGTTGGCTCGTTTACAAAACTCCTGTATACTTGTGAGAATGAGGGCATTCTCTGTCATGGGGTTCACCCGGATTACTCCACCTCGTGGATAGAAGAATCAAAGCTGCGGCTAGACTTCGCATCCAGCATTACTGGCTCGAGCTGGTTTGGTAGAAGCGGTGACAGATTCACAGAAATTCCTTATTCCGGACAGGATTGCAAACGCATCAAATTTTTTTTAACAGAGTGTGGTCTCCGATCAGCTTGTGATGAACTCAGACTGAAGAGCAGCCTTTTCCATAAGGTGCTGTCGGACCCGTCAGTTCTACATGTTGACTTGTTTACACTATCTGACCATCCACTTTACTCTGGTTCTCATCTACGTGTTAACTGGAACATACCTGGAGTTTACGACTGTGTACGAAAGCGCTTCCCTGTACATTGCATCTTCCCCACACAGTCGGCTGCTTTTGAAGGAGTAAGCGTAAAGGCACCAGCTGACTTGGAGCTTTATTTGACCATTGAATACGGGTATCTCGGAAGAGATGCTGTTTATGACTATGCACGGCAAGAATATATCAAGCATTCTTTGTCTATCCTTTAGTTACCTAAACAAGCTGTGCACGTTATGATTAATACCCTGTAATTTTTAGGAAAACTTGACAACCGGATGCATCTTCACCCTTTGTCCGTCGGTCGTGAATTTGTTCTTTTTAGTATCATCATTGCATGCTAGACGTATCTTTCAGCGTAGTGCTGTTCCTCTCTATTCCGGTTACTCCCATTTGCGAAATCTTCACAAGTGGGATCTCGCAATTTTGCGGTTAAGACACAACAGATGCATTGGAACCGATTTCGAAAACTAACCGTTTGTATTTGGTCGATTGTTAATGCACTCTTGCTGGTTTTTCATCTCTTGCAACGACTTTTTTCCCGCTCCCTTGCCATACCGTGTTTTACATTAACGACCGTATCTCGCTGACGCCAACTTATGATGTTATTCGATATTCTTGTCTTCGCCGATTGATATCGTTACTGTTGTGTTTATAAGCGGTTGTTCTCGCTGACCTGAGATTAACTAACCTTTTACCAGCAACTCGTTCCGTGTCTTTGAATATTACATGTACATGTCGGGGCAATTCGGTTCAGCTGAGTTAAGCAACTGTGATACGTGTAACGGTATTCCATGGACTCAGTTGTAAGGAATTCATGTCTGTTGATAATAGGGGTTTCAGAGGATTAATTCAAAAAACTAATGACTACTGGAACAGACATAAGCCTAGATGGATTGGCCAAAACAGCATCGCTGCATAATAGATAACTGATCGAGTTTAATTTGATCAGGGCTGTTTAGCGTGTCTCGTTTCTTCAGGAATAAGCCAATTATTTATTTACTAACATAACACCTGGCTTGTTTTGACGTCCAACTTTAAAGCCATCGCGGCGAAGCTTATGTTTGACGTGACAATATGGCTTGCGCGTCTCCGCGCTTCATTGATCTACACTGGACAGCACTTTCAGAGCACCTTCAGTACCGCTTGCTAGACAGATCAGTGGCTAAACGGCAGACAAGCTCTGTCTCAGTACCATTTATTGGAGGTTGAGGTGCATGGTCCTCCGCTTTCAGAATCCAAGCACGGTACGTAACAGTTTCTGGGTCGCAAGGTCAACTCGATTGGCTTGGAGCAAGGAACAACCCTTCTAGATAGCACCACTACTTTCTGCCACCCACCTCATGCCAGTCATCCACTAGTCAGTAATGTGCAAATCCACCAGATTTTGCGCGCGATTAGCCGTCATCGCAAGCATTATTTGCTACGATCGGGAACCGTGTATTTTTCTACATCTCTCACTGATGCATGTGCTAAGCCTAAAACAGATCCCACTGGGACTTAGTTAATCTCAAAGCTGGACGTGATTCCTCATTGTCTTGTAAATCGAACAGTTGGATAAAAGACTACGGTCGGAGTCGTTAGAGTTCACTTAACTCGATTATTAAGTTAAAGAGTAAAGGTGGGACATTTGGAACAAAACCGCTCTTCGAATTTGACGATCAGAGAGTATCAACCGCTCGCAAGATAATGTTAGCAGAAAGCTTTCCCTTCTGTTTTTATTTGTTTTCACTAATCAAACCTTCAGAATGATGCACATGCCAGTGCGGGTCTTCTGGCCAGCTGTCTTCTGTGTTGCGTCATCGCCCCCGGCTACTCCATCCTTGTGCGCATATCAAAAGAAGTGGTAAACACTTGAATCGGCCTTTATGAGCTTAAAGCAAGCGGTCTATAATAGCATCAGAGTGTGACTTGACTATCGCAAACAAGATATCCTCAGCATCGCGCGTCGATTACGAAGACGGGCACTGTGTATATGCATCCAACTTACTATAATGAGACTGGACACCAACACTATGTGATGGTTCGCGTACCTCTCTACTCTACTGTGCGATGCTGACCTTTGTCTTCTAAATCCTTGCAAGACACCAGGTTGCTCAATGTTTATAAGTCAGACGCTCAGATTTATCTTCCTCTTAGTTGAGGGTTGGAACCAGGGTTACACCATATTTTCTAAATAACAGCTCTTGGGAATCGTTGCCTTTTCGTCACCGTTATTCGAGTGGACTTTTAGGCAATAGTCCCCGGTTAAGACTGTTCCTTTTCCTGAATTGGTTTTGGCACTTTGGCTTTACTCACGCTTGCAAACAATCTCCAATAAATCAACGGACATTAGCCTTACCTTGTATCTGCTTCCGCGCAGTCATGAAGTTGTCACCTGCTACGTACTTTAGAGTGACTAATATCGACGCTTTCATTACTAGTTGCTAACATACTTCTTCGCATCCCAACTCCCACTACTTAACTTCCACAATCCCTGGCTTAGATGATAGTATTTGCAGCACCACTGGAGCTCTACCATCTACAGCTATATTCTCGCAGCTCCCATTGTACTCATATCATCAAATCGCTTGTCAGCTCATGATGCCGCGTGTATTTTACGACCAATGCATATTGGATGACCAGTGTGTTAGCATATGTTGCCATATTGAGACGATTTCACAGGTGCGACGGTTGGCGAGCTTTGACGATCCACTGAAATGTGTTAAGTGGCGCTTCTTACACCTTCAGAGACACTCGTATCAGATTGGTTAACAGTTAATACCCACACTAACTCAGTCCCCTGGTCCTCCAAACTGGGGCATAGAATGTGAATAGCCCTGTATACCTTAAACGGACCGTTTGTTGCCCATTATCAGCTTCCCGCTGTTTTGCGGTCAGGTTTTTGAGCCAAGACTTCGATTGCGAACTTTAATGGCTATCCTGTCGAGACCTGCACAGGCTGACGGCATCCTTTCCGCGTCATCATTATCACCATACACGTTAGCTATAAGTGGGAAACATTACATCGCTTTGCGCCAGTTGTTGGTGCAACGCCACCTAAATTAAGGACCTGATCTAATCATGCTCCTGTAAAACAAATGTGCGTTCGATTCAGTGACTCGATGTGCTCTTTGGGACTGTTTAGTCAAGAAAGGTATGCCAGAGAATTGCGTAAAAATCATCTGAGTACTTTACGCGTTTAGTCCCTCACCTTCAACATCTTAGGTGGCGTGACCCAAGGGTGTTAGCAGTCACCTTTTCTTTTTAATTTTACCATTGGGGAAGTTATGAAAACTGCCTCTACCGGACTGTTTAAGTGTGAGGTTGCTGCCAGCTGATTGTCTTCTGGATTTGGTGTATTGTATGGTTCGGGATTATTCTGTTCCAGCCAATGGTTAAGCCTCAGTGTTCCAGGACGTGGTAGGTTTTCGCCTGAAAAGCGTTCTCCCTGTAAAGAACCACATATATCCGTCTAATAACACTGCGACGTGGCGGATGTGACTCACCACCAAATAGTCACCGCCCCTCTCTTCTCTCCGGTGGAGCATTCTACTCCAGCAACTTGCTGTTGAATTTATGAGTGGATTGGCCCCTGATTAGTACCTGACCAAACAAAATGCGTATAAACCGAGAAATCAGTCACCGGCTCCAAATGGGCGTGATTCACTGAATTCACTTCGCTGCCTTGCGGGTGGGCTTTTTAACTAAAGGCTGGTTGTTGTCCCGTAAATCAACTCCCTACTTCGGCTTAGGCAACCGTGTAGTATCACGCCCTCTCACCAAAACCATGTACTGTTCTGCAACATGCTTGTCTGCTACCGTTTCTGCTTCATCACACGCAAGTTGTTTGTTTGCTAACAATCATTATTATGCGTTACTCAATTCCTATGTTCAAATATCTAGCTGCGATTTATGTTGCGCCGCGAACCATGGAGTTCAACCTATGGCTCTGCTTCGACCCTGATCCTCGTTCCGTCTGGCGTGCTTCAACGTTCGGACGCTCATGCAGATTGGACAGCAAGCCGGTCTAGCGCGTACCCTGGAGTTCCTCTATGTTGACATCTGCTGCCTTTCAGAAACCGTATTGTAAGACCCAGCATTGTGCTTACACTGACATCCCCCACTATCCACGCAACCAGATATTACCTGCGTCTTCCTGGAGATCCAGAAACAGCCTCAACGGGTCTGGTTGGTGTAGGTACAGCACCAATTTGCAAAGCAGAGGCGATACTACTGGACTCTTTCCCGATTAACGGTCTAGTGTGTGCATTTTGGCTTCGGTGTCCATGCAAAATCACCGAGCGTCGCTAGAAGAGACGCAAATGCCTGCATCAGTGGCTCGGTCATAGGCGACTTCAATCGTGAGCTTCATGGGCTCTTGACTAACGCTGAAACGTCGGCTCTCATTGTCCTTGCTGGGGATTTGAATGCACGGGTTGGCCGCCTGTTACCATACGAACGCCACCTTGGTGGTCACCACACTGTCGATGAGAAATGCTCAGATAACTCAGAGAGACTTTCACGTCGTGCGAAGATAACCATCTGTTTTGTCGAGCATTATCTTCAGGCATACGAAGGGGCGTTCCGCAACTTAACATCCCTTCGTCAACACAAGCGTAGTCTCAAATTAATCACATCGCAATCAACTTTAGATGGTGTGTCAGCATACGGCACTGCAGGTCCTTTTAGTTTACCTTCATTGACTCAGGTCATGCACTGGTCTGCGTGGACATGGCAAGATTGATGTGAATAGATTAACTGATTCTTCGGTCCAGGCGACTTATCAGTCTTCACTGGCACCCGCACTCAGTTGCAATCCACCGCAAGACAGAAACATTGGGCTTATATGCAGAAAGCGATGATCCCCTCCGGACAGCTAAGCTGCGGCCTAGCTCGATGCCCCTTAAAGGCTTGGATCTCTGTTGACTCTCTGGAGCTGTTCGACCACCGCCGAGATATCTCGGAAGAATCAGATTACAACGAGAGGCGCCGCTTTGCCAACCGGTTGCTCAAGCAAGACCTACGCAAAGATCGCTAGGCATGATAGCCAGTGTGATTTAGAGATGCAGACCGCTGCCCTCTCTAGCAACCTTCGTAGGCTTTTCCAACTCATTCGGTCCACTGGCCTCAGGGAGCCTGGTGTCAGTGAGGCTATTAGCGGGGCGGCTGCGTCCCCACTCACCAACCAACAGAGGCGTTTGGACCGCTGGGCTGAACACTATCATTCATA